TGGTATTTCTATGCTAACATTCAAGTCATGAATATGCAGTGATATCATAAGAAGAACTTACTTAGTTATATCTTCTCAAGGGCTGATGAGGTTTTTTTGCTAGTTATGGGATGTTCCTAGCTACTGTTCTCCCAGTGGTCATGTCAGCAGCATACCACAGAAATTCTGGAACAAATACTCAGTTTATATTTATTGAGGGATAGTCACCAGGTGTGTCCCACTGTTTTTTTGAATCTCTATATGTATTCTTTATGTTGCACAGGTGAATCTTCTCCATTTTCCCCCTAGTTAACTTGGGAATGAATATGTTTTATATCTGCCTTCCAGTAGTGTGAACTATATAAACAAATTTCTTCAATACCACTTCAATCATTATTTGATTACATACTACGATTTTATTTTCCTCCTGTTTATTTCCTCTGTGTCTTGTAAAGTTCAGACACATCTATGTGTTCAGAAGATTGACCACTGTTTTCTTTGTTCTCCTTCCAGCAATGGTGTTATTTATCTCAGAGCCTTCTCCCAGTTTTGGGGAATTTGTCCATGTCAGTGCATACATACATAGGAGTTATGATGCCACCTCCCTGCTGATCCTTGTTTAAAACTGCTCTCCTGAATAATTCTTCCTTGTATGAGATGGACCTACCTTTGTTCAGTTGTCCTCTGTGCCAGAACACCACCTTGTGGAAAAGGAAAGCAGAGCTTCACATTTGCTTGGTTAAAATGATTGAAAAGACCTGAACCTCCAGTTTCTTCTCCCTTACTTTTGGGTCCTTTCAGTTACTTTTGAGCAGTTCTGGGTAATATTTACTAGTGCTATTAGTGCCCCTATGAATGAGATACATGGAATAAAAACCAGAAGGCTGAGGGAACCTCAGCGCCTTTACTAGAAATAGTGAAGCAGTGACAGAGCTTAAAAAAAGTGTGTTTATTTAATTTGATTACACTTATGCCTATGTTAGGAAGATTATACTGCTCTAATTAAGGGTTACTAGGTTTTTCTATAATAAACTTGAATTTTCAGCTATTTATAGCTCAAAGAAAATGTTTCCATACAGAAATTTGGCATTCAGTGTCTTAAGCTGAATGGTATGGTTTTCCTTCTAATTTTTTTAAAAAGACTCTTTGGCTACATTCTGTTTTGAGGGAGGCAATTTTTTGTGGTTTTATATGCTTTTTGTTCTCCCTTGGCAAGGGTTGATACATGGAAAAAACAAATTTTCCAGGCTCTTAGTCTTTTATGTCAACTATTTCCTTCTTGATATTTCAAACATTGTACTTTGGTAGTCATTACTTTTTAACAGAGCCACTATATAATTCAATAAGCAGTCACCTCTAAGTATCTGCCATAACTACTTTTTGTACTTTGTTACATAAAAATACTTCCTACAATACAATTTAGTAAATATTTTTTCTGAAACAAAGTGATTTACCTGACATGTTTAGTGTTTAATGTAAATACTTGTGTATTTCTGTAAGGTTTAACTTTTTTGGATTCTCTTAAAATATAAAAACTATTTTTCATTTTTTGATTTATTTCTATTTATATTTTCCATTTATTATCTGTAGAGAATTTAATGCCATATTTGAAGGTGTCAGAATTATCTAAGTTTGTCTCAGTGTTGGTTCTGAAAATCCTTCCTTTTACCCAAGAGGATGGTGCCCATTTGGAATTCTCCAGTTAGTTCAAGGAACTCCATCCCTCAGTTCACAAAGCCAGAGTCCTGGTTAAGGTCTGATGCCATCCAGATAGTAAACAGAGAAGTGTCTAAACTCTGCATAAGTTCTTAGAGACTTCAATCTGGTCTGTGAATTTGAAGCTTACCTAGTGAATGCAGATGGCATTGAGCCTGGCACAGAATGTGACTGGTGGCTCAGGTGACTTCTTCAGCTGTGTTTCAGGTTATGTCCAAATATTCTGCAAGTGTGATACTGTGATCAGAAGACTTCCCAACGAAGCAGGGAGTCTCTTTTTTCTTCCTGACAACATGGTCAAATACATATCACCAATGCTGGTTTTGAAAGAATGTCCTAGCAGCTAGTTACTGAGCATTCATAGGACAGGTGAGATTAAGGTGAAGAGGTACTCCTTTACTTCTCTGATTCAGCTTGGGCCACAGAAAGCAAAAATGCTAGACTCATCTTAGCAGAAGATGGTACATGTACTCTTACAGTCTCTAATTTGTTTCTGAGTTTTATCCAGTGATTATGCACTGTAAAATGCATAAATAGTACATACAGGCCTGTACCTAAGTATTCTGCCTCTCCTTTACTTGCTTGTTATCTGAACTTCAGCAGTGCAGCACAATAGAAATTACTAGTTATGTTGGGGAGAAGGATGATCAGGACAGAATTTGTGAGAAGAGTAAGAAACGCTGAGGAGGAAATAAGAGATAATGTTGAAAGCAGATTTATTAGGCCAAAGAGACATTGCTGATGGGGTTCCTCAGGTCTTTCTTAAAAATGTGGTTTTTTCTATAGCACTAACCTACATTTTTTGAGATAATATATGTTTGTGTTAAAATAAGGTAATCATGTTAGTCCAAATGTTTTCACCAGAAAATATCAAGGTGGTCAGATCTGCTGATGCCAGAAAGACAGGAGACATTAGCACTGCCACACTGGGTGCCACACCGGAGGAACTGAGTGAAGACAGGAGCAATCAATGTGCTGTAGATGAAACTATATGAAATTCAATGCAAAGCTAGACTCTTCTGGCCTTGGAGCCAAGATGCTTAAGCTGTTAGTTCATTAGCTCGAAGAGTGTAAGGATTCGTCTCTAGTAGTGCCTTGAGTTTCCACTCTGTGGCCCTTGTGAGAGTCATCCTGTACATGGTTCTCAGTGTTGAGTTCAAGAACAGTCAATTCAAGTTGGGACGAACTAGTAGACAGGAAGGCTATAGGGAATATCAGGGGCTGGGAGACCTGGACTATGGCTCAAAGAGATTGTATGCCTGAAATATCACAGATGGTGAATAGAAATACTTGAATGCCTTTCTGCAATGTCCCTTCCAAACTTCTGTCCCCTACGATATCCAAGGGCTGCAGACATCCCCTTAACGGCTGTGTGAATAACCTACTGCATGTGCTGTAGCTGTGTGAACTGTTCTGTAAAGACAGGTACAGCTCTTTGACTTCAGCAGTTTTACCACAGTAGGAACTGAATAGGATTTACAGGATTTGGCCTAGAGACTGAACATTTTTGCCACCGAAATTTTATGGACATTTTTCATGCTCTAAATTAAGCTTTGGTTCGCATAATCTATTTTATCTCCTTTTTTTTTTTTTTTTTTTTTTTTTTTTTTCTCCAGTCACAGCTTTACTCATAGTGCAGCTGTGGCATTTGTCATGTAACAAGAAGGATCTGATAATCATGAAATAACCAGGATTTATGCCCGTAGTGCTGAAGCAGTGCCATATTTGTGAAAATAACTTAAAAAAGAGAAACAATATGCAGCAGATGTGAAGGTTTTACCTTCACATTTAAGTAGGTTTATACTGTCAGCGAGTGTGGGCTTAGCACAGCCTGACAAAGTTTTAACTTGCCAGATGTTCCATGTGATCAAATAGATACTATACAGCTGTTTCCCATTCTTTTTACTGGGCTCCGATAAATACACAGTAAATGCTCTGAAATATGTTTTTTGTATTTTGGCTAGTGCTGCAGAGAACTTAGTTTTATCCATGGGCACTGAGAATGCAGGGAGAAACCAAAGGTGCTGCAGTAATGCTCATTTTCCGTTACCGTGAGAGGAAATTAACAGCCGTTTGGTTGAAACAACCCTGATGATACTATTCAGGGAGGGATGAAAAATAGGTTTTTCATCTGGTTGTGGATGATGTGAGATTAATGGCCATATTTACACACGGCAGAAGTGACTTCTGGTCTCATGGCGAGCTGCGGCTCCCGCCTGGGCTGACTGTGTTGTCCTTCCCGTGGTGTGTAACTCTCGGGGGAGGTGGTGGGTGCAGCGGGAGCAGCTGTCCTGCAGGTAGCTCACGCGAATCCCAGCACGGGCTTGCAACGCTGGAATGCAGGCACTGGGTTGGATTCTGTATTCAGTGCAATACAGAAAATGCGATGACTCCAGAGCTCCTGCCAAGGCTCCTCCGGGTGCGGCAGCGTGCCCCAAGTTGGCCCTTTGCTGTGTTCTTAAAGACACACAGCTTTTGGGGGTCAGTCTAAGCAACTGCTCTGAAGTGTTTCAGGACTTAAAGGCCCAGGTTACATTACTGCCACACCTGTCAACTTGATTCAATAACAGAGCAGCTAAATAATAAAAAAGGAAGTTTCATTTCCCTTCACCTGCTTTTCTGCTCTTGTTTCTCCTTCCTCCCCCTCCAGCTCCCCATGCTCTTCTTAGTCCTTTGACCTTGCTGCTGCCTTCCTTCCCTCCTGTCACCGTCAGCCTCCTGCCTTTCCAGAGCTCCTCTTACACCTGGGAAATTCTTCTTCTTGTCTACCAGGGGCCTTCCTTGTTCTCCTTTAAATCCTTCTTTAAAACCTTGATCTTCAGGCAGAGGAATTACTTTCATCTTTCATTAATAATCTCTTCAACATTTCTTGACTGCTCTGTTCTTTTCAGATTTATAGCCTAATATTGCAAACATTTACAGAGAAGTAACTGTTCAGTTAAATTGAGAACATTCAGTTAGAAGTTTGGAAGACTCGATCATTCATTGGGAAGCTTTTTGAAATGGGAATATTTCTCACTCTGTAAACACAATGTTCATTTATGGTTTTATGTGCATTTTTATAATAAACATTTGTGGCCTCAGAGGAGCAGTGGAACATGCACACAGATAACTTCTGCTTTTAACTTTTATTCCCTAACTCAAGGTGCGGAATGTGTTCTCACAGATTTTTAAATGCCGTGAGGAAACTTAATGTTGACAATATGACTTTATGCCCAGAATCATATGACAGGACAAGTACAAGCTGTACCTTTGATCTTGGTGACCCTCGTTGTTTTGTGTTTCTGTATTGATTTTTATTTCAGGAGTCTCAAGCATCTGGACTGCCTGAGTACATAAAGATTGTAGAAGTTGGGCCGAGGGATGGATTACAGAATGAAAAGGTAATTTTTATCTTTTTTTTTTTTTGTGTGTGTTTTGATATGGGTATCAGTGTTATTTTCATTGTGTAAAACACATACATCCTGCTAATCATGTTTCTTCCATTTTGTACTATAAATATAATTATTTCTTTTCATATTAATAACTTATATATTAGAATAAAAGTATATTACTATTTAGTCAGATGTTAAATCATATAGTTTCTTTCTATATTTGGTTAACTAGCCTTTCTGTTACTCAAGTGCCATTTCTTTTTCTGGAATTTGTCTTGTCGGTCAATAACATTCTGTCATGACATAATTGGTAAACACTATGAAATACTGACTGTCTTCATAATATGTGTTTGTGCTACAAGTGCTACTATAGTAGGAAGAGGATGATAGGTTTTGTCATACTTCTTGCTGAACAGGCATGGAAGAAAGAAGAAATTACTCTTTTGATAATATTTGCCTGAAGGGTGGTAGGGAAGCATATAAGAAATGGAAAGAGACTGTGTAAAATAGGGTACATGTATCAAAACAGTCATCTGTTTCCACCAACAGGAGGATAAGCTTACATACATCCTTGTTACTTACATCAAAGATGTTAGCAGTATTAACAGAATGGAGTTACTCTGCCTCAGCTGTGGAGCTTTTTTTCCCCCCATTTTTCTCTGGTTGGAATATTTGGTATTACTGTTTCCTTTGTCACTTCTTTTCTATGTTGGTGTTTGGTTACTAACAATTAGTGAGGCCAGATCTACAACCAGTTGCACAGAGATTTTTCCTTATTCTTTTGTGATGGACAAAAAATGGAGTAGAATCCATGTATACTGCCTAGTGCTTTCCTTATGCAGTAGCTTCCTACTGTCAGGAAACAGTATAGTTATGGTATAGTGTATATGTATAGTTCATTATTTAAAAAAAAAAAAGTAATGATTAGGTACTGAAAAAAATTTCACTTACAAAAGTTTCTTCCCACATGAAATACTTTACTATAGTATGTCTCCGTGTCCATAGGTGATAGTCCCAACTGATATCAAAATTGAGTTAATCAACCGGCTTTCCAAAACAGGCCTGCCTGCAATTGAAGTGACCAGTTTTGTTTCATCCAAATGGGTGCCTCAGGTATGTAAAATCATCACCATTCAAAACTATTTCAATTTAAATGCGGTGGAGTTTTCTGGTAGTATAGCTTGTATAATTATGAAAGAACATGGAACTGAAATAATGTTTATTTGTCTGTTGTCAGACGCCATTTATACCGTTTTCAAGTTTTACGTTTTTATTCAGGTCAGCTGACTAAAAAGTAGTCTGAATTGAATAAAAGCCAGTAAGCTGTGCAGAGATCTGGTTAAATCCCTAACTCATCATCAGCAGGAGCAGGTTGCTTCAGAAGGGAAGGGGAACTGGAAGCCAAGCATGATAACAAGGGGAGCAGAGGTTGTAGCCTTGTTGACCAAAGGGCAGTCCCAACAGTCCATGAGAGCAGAGCAAGTCTAGTGAGGGTGGCCAGGGCAGCCAAGAAGACACCCACTCAGGTGAGTCCGCAGTGATGTGGCAGGCCCCAGTCTAAGGCGGGGAGTCAAGTCTGGGAGATGTAGTCCAGTCAGTAAGGTACGTGGCCAGGCATGGGCTTGGCTGCTGCTGTGCAGCTGCGCTGTTTCTTAGGCAGGGAGGAAGCATAAGAGTATCTCAGCTGAAAAGTTGCTGTGAAGTTGAGTGGAAAAGGCGGGGTAGGCCGTGTTAAGACTTCTTAACAGAGGTGTTTGGGGGAGCCTCTGCTGACCCGTTTTCCAGCTTTTACTGGTGAGCTCCAGGGCTGATTGAGGCTTTACAAGTTGCTGTCATCTTATCAATGAGCTGGCCTTGAGTGCAGGCAGCTAAACTCTTAGGAGGGGAGCACTCTGGGCCCTGATCAACAGAAATGCTAGGAGTACAATTTGCCGTGCTTACTACATAGGATGTGAGAAATCTTAAATGTTGTCATCACTCTCCAAACATAAATAATTTAGCAGATGATTCCCAATTTGTCCCTTGCAGCACGAGGGTAGGAGTTTGTATGTGTGCATATGTGCAAGGGACAGCAGTAAATGGGGAGTGAGAAAATTGGTCACAGGATGTTGGGTGAGGATAAGAAGTGTGGGGGTGATGGATCAGCACCATAAGTAAAGGGCCACTGGGATAGAGGATGCTGAGTGTAAGCATAAAGATTTGGGAATATGAAGTGTCCTGGGTTGAGTGAGTGGTGGAGTTTTTTGGTGGCAGGGGAGGGGGCTATCGGGGCGGCCCCCTGTGGGAAGCTTCTCGAAGCTCCCCCAGCTCCATGTCAGCTCCACTTCTGGTTGGGAAATTGAGCCAATCAGCTGCGCCTCTGCGATAACATATTTAAGAAGGGACGTGGTGACGGGCAGTGGGACTTGTGAGGAGGAGTTGCTGCAGCTGCATGAACACCAAGGTCAGTGGAGGAACGGAGGAAGAAAGGAGGGGGGAGGTGTGCCGGAGCAGAGACCCCCCTGTATCCTGTGGGGAGACGGCAGGGCGTCCCCCCTGCCACCCATGAAGATCTACGGTGGAGCAGACATTGATTTACGGCCTGTGGCTTCTGCTTGCCTGATCAAGGTTCTGTGCCCGAAGAAGGCTGGGGTCTCATGGGAAAAGGTAGCCCTGCTGCTGTAATTCAGCGCTGGGAGGATTGCAGCATGCGGGGGAGTCCCACGCCGGAGCAGCTCGGGAAGGGCTGCAGCCGTGGGAGAGAATCCAGTCGGAGAAAGTTAGTGACCCATGACGGAGCAGTGTGGGGAACGCTGCGGCCCATGGGAGGAATTCAAGTCAGAGAAAGTTTGTGGAGGACTGTCTCCTGTGAGAGGGGGACCACAATGGAGCAAGAGGAACAAGTTCCGGACACTCCCCTCACCGAAGATGAAGGAAGTGGCAGCACTGACTGCACCCCCCATTCCCTGCCCCTGCGCCACTGGGGGAGGAGGTAGAGATATCGGGAGCAGAGCTGAGCCTGGGAAGAAGGGAGGGGTGGAGGTAAGGTGTTTTCAAGATGTGGCAATGCTTCTCACTGTCCTACTCTGTTATGTGTTGTTAGTGTCTGTAATAAATGTATGTTCTTTTTTTTCTTCCCCTAACGAGTCTGCCTTTTGCTCATGATCATAAAGGGTGATTTTTCCCCATCCCAGTCCTATCTCGAACCCCAAGCCTGGCTCTCTGTCCCTTCTCATTGCCAGAGGGGAAGGGAGAGAGAGGTGCTGCATTGTGGTTGGCTGCCAACCAGGCCTAAACCACAACAGAAGTGGTCGGGATACAGAGTACTGAATTTGAGTATCCAGATGAACAGCAGTGGGACTGATCTCTGGGGAGTAGCTATGGTGGAGGGGACTTCTTGTGGAAGCAACACCAATTCAGAGACCTAGAATCAGGGCAGGAAAACGTGGAGGCACAGGGCTTGTGCAAAGCAGGTAAACTCAGGCATTGCTCCCTAGCACCAATTCAAGGGAACAGACTTCCCAGGCCTAGGTGTTGTGTGGACTGTCATGGAAACTTTGACCCTTCCCTGAGGCCAGACACCAGCTGCACTTGGTACTTTTCTGTGTGTCTATCCACCATGTAGTCGTCCTTTTCCAAGCACTAACATAAGCACACACACAGATACAAGCACACATGCTTATATGTTGAAGGATTCTAGTTAAGGAGAGATGCTGCACATTCTATCCAGATTGTGAGTTTGCTCACCAAGGGACAGTGAATTTTTGCAGTTAATAATATGGATAAAATTCTTCAACAATAAATGCTAATGTTGTAGTGTAAAATGGAGTCAAAGAAAGTACTTGTGCATTTTATTCTCCACATTATTTACATAAACATTCAGTTGTAAGTAAAGAATTGGGATGGTGACACATCATTAATATAATTTAATGCTGTTCCTACCTCTTTTCTACTCTTCTGAGAACTAATAGTCATTGATGTAAAAAAGAAAGGTATCATACTTTTTTTTCTTTCTGCCTAAATGAAATTTCATTTCCTACATTTGGAAGTGTGTTTGGAAGATCTAAATTTGGGACTTTCATATATGTAGTAGTAGTTAGGCGTGTTAGTGATTTTGCAGATCTAGCACTCTATCAGCAGCAATACTGAGTTTTGATGAATCATAATAATTTGCTCATTATTTTTCCAACATAAATTTTTACATTTGGTAGAATTTAGCAGAAATCCTAACCTTTCTGAAGTCAACAGCAAAACTACATTGGCATTAGGAGTGCCAGGTTTTAATTTGAGATTTAACACTGCAAATTCATGCTTAGTTCTGAAGTATACTGTGTAGCTTCTCTTTCTGGAAACTTAATTATTCCCTGAAAGTAAGGAGATAAGTCAGTACTTGTCTGTATAATTTAAACTAATTTTCAGGAAATTGCTCGCTTGTTTGCACAGAAACATTTGAGTACTTATATGTTTAGTAAGGACCACATAAGTTATTTACAAAGTAAAACATTAAATTAATTAATTTGAGAAAATAATTCAGTTTTTAACATTCATTGTTGCACATCTTCTGTCAAAACGTATGTAAAGTTTGTCCATTTTAGACTGAGAATACATCCTGGGCCTGGACTGTATTCCAGGATTTTCTCTTGAGAAAAACATAGTACGATCATACTTAGTCATACGTTAGCAGAGCAAACTGTACAGAACTCTGAGGCATACATTTGATTTATTTCAGTGTTCTCGGAATCACCAGGGAAGGGCCTAAAGGAAAGATCATAGGAAAGGGGAGGGGAACAGCAACAGTGCAGAATTTCTTTGGTGTAAATGCAGGGACAATGATACTGTGTCCATTAAAAGTGGCTAGGCTAAGTTTTTCCAAGTGCCATCAAACTTTGGCAGTTACGGGAACAAAATAATGTAGGTTTTTAAACATTGGAAGGAAAAGTCTAAAGCAAAGGTGGATTTCTTCCTTTCTTGTTTAATTATTTCCTTTTTCCGTGAGCCAGTAGTAGTCCCAAATTTAGCACAGGTTTGTCAGTTTTGCAAAAAATGAACAATCCCTTCTTATCTTAAATTCATGTCTGAATACTTTATTTTAATGGCTTAAATTGTGTTTAAAATGTTTGTTATTTAAAAGATAAGATTGTGTTGCTTTGATAGGGAGTGCAGTCTTGACTTTGTCTTTTCTTTGCTCCTTTTTTCATAGGTCATGGGAATAGAATTCACGGTTATGTTTAGATCACTCATTCATTTATTTCTTTTTTTAGTATTTTAAAGCTCTTTTATGGTTTCCCATCCACTGTTTTTTTTGGCAGAGGTTTTTTTTACTGAAAAAAGCTAAAAGAAAAAGTTCCACAGTAGCAAGGTGCCATATAAAACAGGATCCCACACCTATAACCTAAATGGCCAAAAATTATAAATACCTACCATTAGAAAGCTTATTTTAAAATAAATTTGGAAAAGAAATATTTTATTATAATTTAAAATCTTACAACATGCAATATGTGTTAAAATGGGATTTTACTTACAGGAAAAATAGTTATGGGACAAATGTAATACATTTAATATTATTTGGATCTGGCAGCTTTATACTGGTTGAAAAAGTGTAATTTTGGTTTTCTAGTGTATTTTAAGTCAGGCTATAATTTTAAAGTGTAGAATTAGTTCCAGCATTTGCCATTTAATTAATCATTTGGTTTCAAAAGTTATTCCTTGCCCTGAGAAATGTAGATACTATTTATATTAAATTAAGGAATGAAAAATTGTTCTTAAAAAACTAAATCATTACCAAATGGCATTTTGTGAGGTTATCAGATATGTTAGGTGGTCACACTGATTTAGTTTATCTAGAAGCAATTACAAAAAGTTGCTTTGTGCCATCACTTGTTTCCTGATGAGAAATGAGTTATATCTAGCTACAAGACACTTTTCATATCATATATCCAATTCCTTATAGATACATGTCGGGCATATATTTGAAGAGGCATGCATGCATTTTTCTGATATTTTTTAGTCCATTCATTTTTGTAGTAGGAAACCAGTGACAGGAAGATTCCATGTTGCCAGTAGTATTGTCACTTAATAATCTGGTATCATTTAATATCACATATTTAGAATTGTGGTACTGCAAATTTATCAATAACATATCTGTTGAAAATCAGGAGTAACAAAAGCTTTGTAGTTCATACATCTTTTCATATGGTACTCCCCAAATGACTTTTCATCAGTGTGGAAAGAATCAGAAATCCAATTTAATACTGTTTGCTTGGAAGATTTGCTTTTATGAGAGCTGATTTAAAAAGCATTTAAAATACACTATTCATTTTTTAAAACTCTAAGTCTGTAGGACATGAAAGATGAGGGATATGTTTTATTAACTGTATTGTTTTCAAGCATACACACCATTAAGTAATAAACTAATTTTTGCTCCACTTCTTTCAGGAAAATGTGCAAAATAATCTACAGTTTATTACACAAATAAGTCTTTGATTCATCTTCTTGATTAGTACATGGTGTGTATTTAATATTGAGTGAGAAAAGTGTAAGAATATCTTAAAAAGGCAGAGGTTTTTTTGTGAGGGGAGACTAAGGAAAACACATGCTTGAAGAAAGTAATGGTCTTTGACCTTTGCTAAAATAAAGAAGTATTTTCTTCCTTTGAAAGAAAATTCATAGAGTCATAGAAACATAGAACCGTTTGGGTTGGAAGGGTCCTTAAAGATCATCTAGTTCCAACCCCCCTGCCATGGGCAGGGACCCCTTCCACCAGACCAGGTTGCTCAAAGCCCCGTCCAGCCTGGCCTTGCACACTTCCAGGGAGGGGGCAGCCACAGCTGCTCTGGGCAACCTGTGCCAGTGCCTCACCGCCCTGACAGTAAAGAATTTCTTCCTTACACCTAATCTAAATCTACCCTCTTTCAGCTTAAAACTGTTACCCCTTGTTCTATCACTACACTCCCTGAGAAAGAGAGTCCCTCCCCATCTTTCCTGTAGCCCCTTTTAAGTACTGGAAGGCTGCTGTAAGGTCTTCCTGGAGCCTGCTCTTCTCCAGGCTGAACAACCCCAACTCTCTCAGCCTGTCCTCAGAAAGGGGGTGCTCCAGCCCCACAATCATCTTGATGGCCTCCTCTGGATCCGCTTAATCAGGTCCATGTCCTTCTTACGCTGGGGGCCTCAGAGCTGGACACAGCACTGCAGGTGGGCTCTCCCGAGAGTGGGGTAGAGGGGGAGAATCTTCTCCCTCAGCCTGCCGGCCACACTTCTCTTGATGCAGCCCAGGACACGGTTGGCATTCTGGGCTGCGAGCACACATTGTTAGCTCATTGTCAGTTTTTTGTCTACTACTATCCCCAAGTACTTCTCCGCAGGGCTGCTCTCAAACCACTCATCGCCCAGCTTGTGCTTGTCATAGCCTTCACCCATGTGCAGGACCTTGCACTTGGCCTTGTTGAACTGCATGAGGTTTGTACAGGTCCACCTCTCCACCTTGTCCAGGTCCCTCTGGATGGCATCCCTTCCCTCCACCGTGTTGACCGCACCACACAGCTTGGTGTCATCAGCAGAGTTGCTGAGGGGGCACTCAATCCCACTGTCCCTGTCACCAACAAAGATGTTAAACAGTGCCGGTCCCAGTAGTGACCCCTGAAGAATGCCACTTGTCACTGCTCTCCACTTGGACATCGAGCCATTGACAGCAACTCTTTGAGCATGACCATCCAGCCAGTCCCTTATCCACCAAGTGGTCCATCCATCAAATCCATGTCTTTCCAATTTAGAGACAAGAATGTTATGTGGGACAGTGTCAGATGCTTTGTACAAGTCCAGGTAGATGATGTCAGTTGCTTATTAATCCAGTTCAGTCCATTGTTAACCTATAAAACTCTCTAGTCAACTTTCCTGAGAAACAGCATACCAGGAGGACTTTGCTGAAGAGTCCATAGCACAGTGACCTTAAATAGAAGTGCATCCGCTGCTGAGCAGATTAATCAACTGATAACAGCCCAGCACCTGTTTTTTATGATCCACTGGCCACATATGTGGTTCTATTAGCCCTGCCTTTTTTCCTTCTATTCTAAGTATCTTAAAATGTTACACTATGCAGAGAACTGGATTTTGCTACATTTTGCTATATTTTTAAGGGTAGGCTTGTGATTAGTCTTTTCAAATATGCTGATTACAGTATTGAGTAATTGAGATTCTTATGCTTAAGACTGAAGTTGTATTTATCAGAGTCCTGAAGTTTTCAAGATTTGGATGGTTTTAAAATGTCAGTTACTCTTTTACTTCCATTAATTGAATCTATTGAGGTAAGTTTATGGTTGCAATAACAGTTGATGATCAGCATGATCACAAGTCTGTAAATTTATGATAGAAATTATATTTTTACAGATACATGCAAAAATAAACAGTATATAAATCTTATCCCCCAATTCTTTATTCATATAGAAATAGAAAGTTTGTAACTCAAATACTCAGAATTTAAGAAATCAAAAAAAGAGTGCTTGTACAACATCAATTTAACCCCTTTGTTGTTACACTTTCTGTATGAACTGTATACCTAATGAAGGCAAACCCACAGTCTAAGCCCATTTCTGCTTAGCTATATAAAATCAGAAAATAACTGCTGAGAAATACAAATTATTTATATATTTTAGATGGCAGATCACAAAGAAGTAATGAAGGGCATTGAGCGGCATCCTGGAGTCCAATATCCTGTTCTCACGCCTAATCTTCAAGGTTTTCATTCTGCTGTAAGTGCCTTCATAGATGTTCACAATTCCCTCTTTCATGTTTTAGATACTTTCAGTTCAGTCCCGTAAACTAGCTATTTAATGTCATATAGCCTGTCCTGTTAGAACTAAGCTATGTTTTTTAAATCAAAACCTGTCAGTTTTCATTCTGAAAAATGGTCAAATTCACAGAGAGATGTAAAGGTCTACATATTAATATTTTAATGGGAGTATTGATCAAACAGTCTTTACAAGTTCTGATAAATGATGCTTGTGTATAATGAAAAAGGTAGTTCCTTCTCCTGTGATTTGTTGGCCCTGGACAAGTTTCTCAAGAGTGTCTTCTTGGAAAGTAGTGAAGACGAATGAGGAAAGAATCATTTAAATTAATTATATTATAGAAATATATTAGATTTCTTAAATTCTGCATTGCATTTTGTTAGGGTTTGAAAGTTCAAATTGCTTCAGTTCATACAAAATAAATATTAAAAATTATAGACTCGAAGTGTTTGGAATTGTGAAAATGGAGCAGTTCAGTCTTCTTAAAACATTGATAGTCAAATCTTTACGTTTCTTTGTCTTCTGAAAATTTTTTGTATTCTCTGCTTTTGTCTTGATATAGGACAAGCTGTATTTGGAAAGCATACTGCTTGATGGACATTTGTGGTGTAGTCTACCATTCAGTTTCTATACTGCATATGAAATCCCTGTTAAAACAGAATCCTGTAGATAGGCAAGTTAACTATCAATAGTCAGATTTATAGTGCCACAACTTTGTCTGCAGTGGTAGCTTGTATGAGTTGAATTAAATCTGCTTTAGCGATACAAAGAAAAGAAAAAAGTGCGAACATAGTTGTAGGTGATTTCTGAGTTATTTCTTGCTGCTATTCTTTCCTTCTTCCCTCTATTTGAAAGGATATTTGTTCCTGTAAGGGTTGCTGAAGCTTAGACATTATCCTACAGAAGCAGAGAGTAGAGGGAAAAGCTCTGTTCTTTTTTCATAGAACAAGAGCGTTATTCTCACCGGGGAGTGAGAGTTAATTAATGAGCTGTTCTCCTGTGCTTAGGTGTTTTCTCCTCCTATCATTTGGCTTTCAGCATTCTAGTTTGCCTCACGTTAGTCGATTTACTGAGTACTGAGATACTGAGTACAAGTTCAGGCTAATTGCTCCTTCAGTGAAGTCACCACATTTACACGTTTTCTAGACTGGTATTTACTCTGAGACTTTTTCACAGCAGACTCTCACATGGACATTTTCCATATTATCCGTATCGACTGTGACACCAAGACCAAAACCGCGCCCTTGATCCTAGAGTTGGCTGTAGCAGGGAAATCCCTGTTGGTTATTGTTGCTGCTCTGGGCACATGCAGGCACAGAGCTTTCCTAAGCATGAGAATGACTTCCTGGCATGCATGAGGAACAGGCTTTGTACAGAGAATAGATATTTCAGAGTTATATGATCTTTTCCTTTTCTGAAAAATGAATATAAGTATCATACAGTCATTATTACTTTCATAGTTGATCCATGTGATTGCCTATATCTTAATACCTTTCTCATTTACCACTTTAAAAATGTTTACCTAATTGCTAAGAAGAGGAAGGAAATACGCCATAGTGAATGAACTCAAAATTTGATTCAATCTGTTTGTATGCAATAGATTTTTTAAAAATTGGAATTAAACTTATATTTTAGATATGGATGATACGCTTATAATGTACTTTAGAATTCTAGAGTCGTGCAGAATTAAATGCTTAATCCAATCTTCTAATATAGTGTTATGATTCTGTTTTATTAAAATGTATTTTTCAGATTGCAGCAGGAGCTACAGAAGTCTCAGTATTTGGTGCAGCATCTGAATCTTTTAGCAAAATGAATATTAATTGTTCAATTGAAGAAAGCATAGAAAAATTTGAAGAAGTTGCTAAATCTGCAAGGAATATGAATATTCCAGTGCGTGGGTAAATATAAAGATTCTTAAGTAATACAGAGTTATTGGAGTCGCTGTTAGAGGGTTTTTTTTGTACCAGCAGAAAAGTATACTACCAAATTTTTACATTTTAGATGAATTGAAATAATAGTCTTATTGTGTTTTTTTTTTTTTAAGATTGAATATATGTAGTAATTTTGCTTTGTGTTTTGTAACTACTAATGTTGACTAGTCTTCTCTGTAAATTGAGTAAAAAAAAGCTGTGTATATAAACATACCCATTTTATTTTACAAATTTATTTTTACCATCACAGATAACAGCATAAAATGTATTTTGTGCTGCTGAGAACTCATAAAACTGTTGCCTGCACCTTAAAAAATATGCTGCATACTTTTATTTTATTATAGTATTGATAATATATCACTTCATACGCTGTAGAATTGAGGTATAAAAGTGATAGAACAAATTTACTCCTAAGCAAAAAATATTCTCTATATAAGTTATTCTGAAAACTCCAGGCATTAAAGTGTTTGGAGTCTCTATTGCATGAAACTCTTGTATATATCTTTCTCTAGAGTACCTTCCTTTAAACTTGATATAATCTTGAATGGTACTTGCCCTTGAACAGTCTTTATTTCTCATTTCCATTTTCTTTTGCATTACACAGCTACTTACTTAAGATTATTTGTGAAGGTCCTTGTGAATGCAAAAAGGCTTACATAGGTTCAAGGAGAAACTCAACAATGAGATTCCTTGAGGATGACTAGTAATGCAAATTACATCATGCTCAGAAAATACCTGGACTTGAAAATAGAGAGGTGGATACCTCAGAGACTGAGTGCTTAAAAACTTGTCTGGAATTAAATACTGGGATCTCTGTTTCCTTAGAAATAGTGATGAGGTAATGCTACTGCTCAGTGCTTGCACAATAGTGTGGTAGTTTGAGCTTTTGCCTTGAGAAAAGGAGATCTGACTTTTAGTTATACCTCATCCTCAGAGGTTCACAGAGTAACAGAATGCTAAAGCCTGCTGAAAGGGACCTCTGGAGGTCATTTTGACCAACCCAAGATTTGTAACACACACATATCCAACCAAGGATAGCTCATAAATGCTTGGGTCCTTTTTCCCTAGCCTCATTACATGTTTCAGATGGAAAACCAGTGAATAGGGAATTAAGAAACAATAACTTGTACCAGAGTTTAAATACTCTACCTAGCTGCTAATGTCAGGTAGAGTCAGGGTTTGCCTTCCTGAGCAACTTCTCCTGTAAGAGGTTCGTTGTTTCCACGTTTTTCTGAAATTAAATTCTGAGCTGAGAACATAACTAGGAATTTGAGTTCTTCATGAGGATTAAGCTCAGGGATGCCAGACTTTTAGGTCCCAGATAGGTGTGAAAAAGGGATTAGGCATCCAATTCAGAAAAGACAGCATGTGTATAGCAACAAACCTTACGCACTGGTGAACATTTTTACAGTAAACTTTTGTTTTCTGGTTTTCTCAGATGTTTAGGCATGCCGGGCAATATTTTCTGTTTCATATCCCTGTATTTCACTAAGAAAATTCAAGCAAATGGCACAGTAGAGGCAACCAACCATCAGGGGAATCCTCAAAGCCTATGCATTGCGTATGTGTTTGGATAGCTATGGGCATTGACAAATGGACTTTGCAACTGGTCCAAAAGATGTAAACTGCAGGTGATGAAGAACCCCCTGTAGTGTACTCTGGATTGACATTGGAACTTAAAATGTTAATTTATCTTCTGTGCAGTAGTTTTCACATGTTTAAGAAAGTGGCAACCTGCTGCTTTTTTTTCCACAGATTGTATGTCTAAGGCATTTGTAATACACCAGTAGCTGTTATTCTGGCACTGATACACTGACATGATGGAAATGACTGTTCCCATGATAGGATTCTGCAACATTCTCATGCATTTTTGTCTACTCTCTGATGAACTGTGTGGCAATGAGAAAGTAGCAGGATGGGAAGGCATGTACAGAGAGGAAGAAGTAGGAGGCAGAAAATTGTCAAACAGAAGCAGAGCACACATGCACAAAAAAAAAGAATATTGTAATAAATAAGAATAATAAGAAGGAGAACAAACCAAGGGGGTACAAAGAGAGGAGTATCAAGAAGCAGGTAATGAAACAAACAGAAAAAACAGCAGTGCAGAGATGAAGAGAAGTAAGATAATTGAACACAGAGAAAATACAATCAGATTATCTTTTAAAAGTTCTTATTTTGTACATCTAGTACAAAACCTGTTATTTCACTTCAGTATGCAAACCTAGGCAAACTTCACAATAGTACATGCAGGACAATTTAATTGAGTCTGTTGTGCCAGGTGCAGTATGTTACACAAGGTTTCAACAGTGGCCTGCTTGATACCAGGAATGCTACAAAGTGAACAGATTGGACATTGTGAATGAAAAAGATGTAAATTCACTCCAGCTATAGCTTTTTTCCTTAGGCTTACAGGTCTGAGAAAAGTAAATCGTTCAGAAGTAGGAAGCCATTGACAGGATCTGTCGATTTGTGGGATTATAACCAACTAAAGAATCCAATTAGAGAGGATAAGTATATTGAAGAGAAACTACATTTATCTTTATATTACAGCTGTCTTCATCACAAGATAGTAGCTTGGGAGCTAATTTATCCTGGTGAAAATTCCAGGTTGAGGCATCAGGAGATAAGATGCTGGACTAACATTACACTTCAGCAAATCAAAAATTTTAGGAGAGGTCTGTCTGGTATTTGTCCAGAGAGATCTAATATAACTCAATAATAAAGTAGCTAATCTGCTGAAAATATAAATTGCAGAATATGGAGCCTTATAACAAAAAGCCCTAACTGAGGTAGTAATTCTGAGTATCTAAAACATCCATTGAACATGGATTTCAGTATATGAAAATATTGAAAATTTTTAGCATGCTAATAAGTTAGAAGATAAAAGAGAACTGGTTAACACAATCCGTTTGGACTTTGAACTTTTTAAAAATGCCTTTCAGGGAGATTTTGAGGAGGTAAAATAGTAATTAATGAGAAATAAAATGTTGCCATGGATCAGAGTCTAGGCATATATGTTATCAAGTAAATAATTACCAGGTATTGTGATACACTGATTCTTTTTCCTACCCTTTCATACTCATTCAGATGTACTGCTCGTGGTTGCAGAGTTACAGGAGTCTGTAGGAAGCATTGACAGGGAATGATTGCTCAGAAATAATAAAAAAGAAGGATTGTTTAGTGTCCATCTACCTCAGTACTTTCTCTTAAGCTCCAGTGTACTGTCTTTTGTTAAGTAGAAATCTGAAGACCAGAAGAATAATAGTGGGAGCATGAAGATAGAAATGCAGAATTCATGACTTCTTTTTTTTAATGGTAGATCTCTTAGCAGTTAGAGTTCTAGAATGTGGACTTAAAACTTTTATTTAGTTAAAAAAATTAAAAATGCCAATAAAGAAGAAGAATCAGCTTTGAATGCCAAATCCAGGAAGTAAATACATCTGTTTACAACATTTCAGCTGTTTGTGAGGGGTAAGATTATGGAAGCAGACCATCATTTCCAACTTAATTCCTAGAAGACTAAACTATAATTTCCTCTGGTACTAACACCCAACAAAAGCCTGCACTCCTATAGGGAATTCATTAGGATTTGAGAGGAAGTAGTTCATTAGTTCCCAAATACTGCAGTACATTTAGAAGACTTTTGGAGTTTTGCATTTTATTTAATGATATAAAACACAGGGCTTCTCTTCCTAGATGAAAAAAAGTGTGGAAAAGATAATCAGAAAGTAAAACTTAAACAGAGATTTCATAGAAATATTCAGTGCAATCAGGGTGACTTTTTCCTGGAGATAAAACAATCAAAAAAGAATTAGCTATCAAAGCCTGTGATTTATGGTCTTGATTTATGATCCCATATTTAGCAGCTAATAAAGAAGATCCTTTTAGTGTCAGATAAAATAAATGGCATTTTTGTATCCCAGTTCCATGCAAATTTCTCTGAATGCTGAGACAGTCAAGGCCTTGTGGCAAGTTGTTCTTTATGCCATGATCTTTATGCTTTATATCCTGATCTGTAAGTATCACATAGACAAGTCAAGCAGGGGCAGAAACCGACAGTTTTAGAAATTGAAATTTGGGAGTTTCCGTTTAATGACCTCAAACCCAGAAGTTTGGAAACAAAAGGATGGAATGTTACATAATTCATCAGTTGACATTCAGTATTTAGAATTGATTCTCATGGTTTGACTACTTTTTATTTAATTTCAAGGGGAAAAATACTTTCAGGTTTTATGTTATTGCGTGGCTTCTATTTACTGAAAATATTTATATATTATTTACAATCTTTATTGTAAGGTGAGGCAAATCCGAGCATGATCACACAAGTCTGAGCTTGTCATCCTAAGTCTGCTTGTAGTTACTAGAGGGAAATAGGCAGCCTTCAGGCTATGATTTATTGTATGGGCTTTTTAAAGTACCTGCCTTAGGATAAGATGAACCACTCTGCAGATAATCCATCCTTTTGGCTGCAAAGGAGCTTGGGTCCTATTCTATGTTATTGAACCTATAGATAGCCTAAGGCATAGGCTGTAGATGATTATTTTTGATATCAGAAATTAGAACAGATGAATTCTGTCGTACCTGTGCATAGGCTAAGGACTAGGGCCTTATAATTTATGTAAATTTCAATAAATAGAAGAAATGTATTAATAGGGTTTGTGCTGCGAGGTAACACAAAATGAAACTGTGGACTATGTGGACAAATATTGGCACTCTCTGCACTGAGAATTAACATTTTGTTTTTTATCACCCTTTTGGAGATTGTCTACTTTTAAAGAACCACAGCCAAAACCTGCAGCCTTTTCTCAAGCAAGCTCCCAGGACTAAACATTTTGGCTTCTAATATAAATTTTGTTGGCTAAATATTTTGCTTGAATTACTTAGGTAATAAAAATATTAATATGCATAAATTGCATTTATATTAATTTCAATACAGAGATTGTTTCCTTTCTAAAGTACTATTATTG